TGAGCAGGGAGGGCAAGCACGGGCCAGAGAGTGCAGGGCCCAGTCTTCCTCCTTTCTCCTCAAGTCGACCAAGGGGACTCACCTTCCCACACCCCTCCGACCCCTGACACTTCACATCTTTCCATTTATTCGTGGGGGGGGGGGAGGGTTACCCTGATATCTTCCTTTTCTCCGCTCCTCTGCATCCCCTGCCTCAGGTTGGGCCTCATTGGCTAGTGGCAGTGATGAATCTCTGGCTTCACAGGCGTCTCAAGTGGGCCCTGGGGCTCCTTAGAGTAGCCACAAGATACCCTGAGAGCTGGGGTTTAGAAGCAGCTCCGGGAAGCCAGCATTTCCTTCCCACTGTCGCTGATGTACACCATCCCATTCCTCCTCTAGCCCTTGGACCTGCAGATTTCCTGGGTCTCACACAGCTACACAGCTATGAAACTGGGGGTCGGGGAGGGGGCTACTTTCATTGACTCTTCTGAAAGTGCCCATGATCTATACATTTCCCCACTTTTTGCCTCTCCCCAGTTCCCTCTGCATAGGAAACTCTTCCTGGGCTACTCCATCCTGGTTCTCACTCTGCATGACACTCCCCCCTCCCCAATCACTTCACCTCCTAAAAGAGCCCTCAGCCCACAGTAAATGCTCAAATAAAGGGATCACCTCTCCGGACCGTTCAGGTTTTTCCAGGACATGCCTCCTGGCAGGGGCAGAAGGATTGTGGTGATGGTTATGGTGTGCCTCCCCCCCACTCCCCTTGGCCTGGGCTGGGCTTGAATCTGGAAGAGCAGGTGGCGGAGACCCACTCCCCGCACCTAACAGGACCTCCCTGGCCTCTAGCCTGACTCCATGGCCTCAGGAACTGCTGACCAGGCAGCTGGGTTCGGCAGACAAGGCTGGTGGGGGAGATGAGCAAGAGAGTCCTAGCTCCTGCAGGACTGGTGTTCCTCCTCTGTGTCTTTCGTGGCTGACTCGGAGTTCTCACACTTGCTCTTTCCAGAGTGGCTGGCTGATGAGGATACCCCTAGCTTGGGGCGTGGCCAGCTTCTCCCTCATGCTCGCCCTGTTCAAGCGGCAGCTGCACGCACAGGGCCTGGCACCAGGGGCCTGGCATGCATGAAACCCCTGCTTCTCCCCCTTGGAATCTGCGTGAGACCCCCAGACCTTCACCTGCCAGTGTGTACTAGAGGACCTGTGCCCTTGCTTGGAGTCAGCCTTGTGCATGGACTGGAGGCGTCCATAGGTACATATTCTGCACCCTCATATCTGCAGGGACACATCCACATGTGCTGGGCTGATGTCCCTGTGTAGCCATAGTATTGTGGGGTGCACTCCTTGTGGGGTGCTGGAGACACTTGGGTCTTGTCTTGCCCCAACCTTGGAGCTAGCTATGAGTAAGAGACGTGGAGGGGGATTCAGTGTGCGAAGGAGAGAATGGAGTTGGGCAGAGCAGCACACAGAATCCTGGATCCAGCACTGCAGGCTTTTCTGTGAGGTTCTTCGTCTGCCGGAGTTCATGGTGTGTTGGGAGATCTTTGCAGAGCACAGGAAAAGGCCAGGCCGCCTCAAACCTTCCTCCAGGTCACAGCTGCGCTCTCTTGCTAGGTCTAGTGTCATTTAGCCCTCGTTGGTCCCCAGGAGGCAGGTGGGGAGGATGTGGGGGTGTTGCTTGGGTGCAGGGTGTGGGGTGTAGGCTGAGCAGATCTTGTGGGTCCTCAGGCAGTCTTGTCAGCAAGGTATCTACAACGCAGGCCTTGTCCTCAGGCCAGAATGGCTGGTGGGAGAGGACTGGAGGCCTGGTCTGCTCTGGTTCACAGGCTGAGGCTCAGGAGACACCAGGCTCGTAGCTGCCTTTGAGAGCACCTGGGTGAGGCTCTGGATGAATAGTAATAGGGAACAGGGAGCTGGGTGAAGGCTAATCCCACTGTCTGGACTATGGTTACCCTTGCCTCAGTCCTGGAACCACATTGCCCTCTATCCCCCGTGGTCCAGATAGGTCCTGGCTGATACCTGGTACTGCTATTGCCTTGACAGACCAGCATAGAATGGACAAGCACGCTCATCTGTACACACAGACACACTTACACTGGGCACATGCAGGACTCTCAAGCCCATCTTAAGTGGAGCTTTAAGGCTCCTCAAAATCTCTGACAGCCCATCCCCACCTCGGAGACAGAAAACAGGATGTATGAAGCCCTCCCATCCTCACCACAATCCTCACCACGGTCCTGGTCCTCAAGGACAGACTGAGACCTCCTCAGGAAATGGGAGCCCTAAGCCCGGTGTGATGGTGCCTGCCTTTAATCCCAGCACTTGGGAGGCAGAGGCAGGTAGATCCCTGAGTTCCAGGCCAGCCTGGTCTACAGAGTGAGTTCCAGGACAGCCAGAGCTACACAGAGACACCCTGTCTCAGAAAACCAAATAGAAAAAGGGAGGGGGATCTGTGTTAGTCCCCTTGTCCTGTGCACAGGCCAAGGGCTTCCTTCCCAGCACAGGACAAGGGAAAGCCAAAGGAACTTCCCACACGTGGGGCTTCCTCCCTGGGTGTCAGAGCTCTGGAGAAGACTTCTGGAAAAGACCATCTTTGAACTACAGAGTGAGTGGCTATGATTCCTGGGAAGCTCCATAGTCATTGGCATGCCTCACCAGTCCTAGAGGAAAAGTGGAGTAAAGAGAGGGGAAAGGAGACCCAGCAGCACACCCAGCAGGACCACAGCAGTCTCAGGTGCTCAAAGAGGACAGACAAAGCCCTGGAGTACTGGATGCCGAGAGGCCAAGAGGCCAGCGTGCTGAACAGGGAGGGAGGACACAGCTGTTGTCCTCTCTCCCCAAACGAAGTCCAGTGGAGGTCACTGAGGACCTGTCTCTGAACTTCCTCCCGCAGAGAATGGTTCTGTAATGGCTCTGGTAATGGAGTAGGAACAGGGAGACCTCCTTGGTCTTCTGTTCTTGACTAGGACTTGGACTTACCCAACACTGAGCCCCCAATAGTCCCTCAACTTAGATCGCTTTCTTGGGGAGACAACTTTTGTGAACTTCCCCAGTGAGGCTGCCTGGAACCTGCAGGTCTCTCTTCACACGGAATCAGCTCTTTTAACTCAACCCCAGTGTCCTCTTTCCAACAGCATTTTCTCAAAAAAGGCTGGCTCAGCGGCTCCCAGCCTGGTCCTATAGGGCCCTGCCCAAGTTTTATTCTAAGACAAAAGGAGCAGGGGGACAAAGGAGGCCTGTGACTGAGACTCAGCTGATGTTCTCTAGACTGGGGCTTCTCGTACAACTGAGGTAGAGCTCCCAGCTTCCCACAGAGAGCCACAGTCTAGGCAGGAGCCCGGCTGGCTCTAAATTTGCCAATTCGGACCGTTACACTGTACTCTGATGGAGGGAGGAGACTGCCATCTAAAAGTCTGCGGCTGCCCAGGGAGCCTCAGAGGGTGAGACTTTTCAGCCATCTCTCCTACTACCCAGGTTGGGGTTGCACCCTTTGGAGACCAGAAGCTGGTCACCCCTGGGTGAGGGGCAAGAATGGCTGGGACAGCTCAGGCCACCAGGACACAATTGCAATGCCCAGGACTGGAGCCTCTGCCCTGCCCTCCGTGGGATCCCAGGCTCCTAGAAGGCTAGTCACAGAATTTTGTCTCGTTACTGAAAGACACATTTGCCTCTTGGTCAGTTTCTCCCTACTCTTGCGTATCTGGACACAACAGCTCAGGTAAAATCCAATCCAGGGACTTCCATATTTTTCTGTTCCAGGAGAAACATGTGAAAAAATGAAACCCACAGACACAACAGCCAGGTTCCAGTGACTTTTGGATCTAAACAGATTTATTATTATTTTTTTTTGTATTTTTTTCCTTTCCTCAGTTTCGTAACAAATGAAAAAAAAAGAACACAACAAAAAACAACAACACAAAATTTTTTTTCAACGATTTGTCTAGTGTCCTGTTCAGAAGGCTCAGCAGGAGCCGCCTGGCAGCAGCAGAGGACCGGAGGCGCGTCAGAGAACCGGGTCCAGGCCTCAGAAAACCAGATCTCAGCCCGTGCGGACGCGCCCAGCCTAGAATACCCTTAGCCGGGTCGCTCTCCCGGCTAGTCCAAAAAGCGACCAAGCTTTAAAAAAGATTCCACAAACGAAACACAATTTAAATGAAATAAAAACACCTTTCCACCCGCCCATGCCAGGAGGTTCAGGCCTAAGCCTCCTCTTTTAAATTTTTTTCTTCTAGAACTGTGCATTACTTTTAAATTCTTTCGCTTCTCTGGAAGGTTAAAATAAGATATATTTCCCCAGGAGTCATAAATACGATCTGGTGCATAGAGAAATAGCAGCGCAGGAGTCCGGGCCAGCCCCAACCTGGCTGAGCACGGCCGCCCCCCACCCCCCTCCCCCAGTCGAGTATAGCAGGGCAGTGGGACCGACACACAGGTAAGTTCCTCGGCTTCCTCTACAGGGAGCAGCGGGCAGGGTGGGGACAAGCGGGGTGGAAGGCAGGCAGGGCCAGACCCCTCGGAGCGAAGGAGCTAGGGCACATGCGGGCACTCGTCGACCTCCGAGGGCGCACGGGGACCAGGGAGTTCCTCCGGGGTTTCTAATGACCGAGCAAAATAAGTTATTAACGTCGCGAAAATAAAACCGCTTTAAAAAGGAGGAGGGGGAGGAGGAGTAAAAAAAAAAAAAAAAAAAACAGGGCAAGGAAAGAGAGACGAAAAGAAAGACGGCGGCGGAGGAAAAGCGCGGGGCCGGCGGCGGCCCCGGCTGCGGGTGGGCGGAGGTCTGGGCGCGGAACGCTGCCGAGGAAGTCAGACCTGGCTCGGGCTTCCCTCGTCGTCACCGTTCCCGGGGCGCCGAGGGACCCGGGCAACGTCTAGGCGGCGACCCCGAAGACGCTCGGAGCTGGGGGGGGGGGCGGCGGCGCCCCGCGGGAGGTCCCCGGAGCCGGGGCGCGCGGGACGGCCGGGAGGAGCAGCGCAGCGCAGGCGCGAGCGTCCGGGGCCCCAGAGTCCGCCCCCAGGCCGGGGCGGCCTGCGCAAACTCGTCCCCGGCGGCGGCGGCGGCGGCGAGGCCCCGGGGTCTGGCGCTCACAGGAAGAAGTCGGGCGCGCCCTTGGCCGCCCCGGGGCCCGCCTGCGCAGGCGACTGCTCCCGAGGGAAGCCGGCCCCGCCCGCGCCCCCGGGGCCGCCCCGGCCCGCCAACTTCTCGTATTTCTCCTTGTACAGGTCCCGCTCTTTGGCCAGACGCCCCACCTCCAGCTTCAGCTGCTCCACCTGGCTCTGGAGCTGGCACTTCTCGCTCTCCAGAATGTGCCGCTGCTGCACCCGCTTGAAGCGGCACGACTGCGCGTAGCCGCGGTTCTTGAGCGTGCGCCGCTTCTGTTTCAGCCGGATGACCTCCTCCTTGCTGAAGCCCCGGAGCTGCCGGTTCAGCTCGCGGACCGACATGGACACCAGCTGGTCGTCGGAGAAGCGCTCCTCCAGACGCACGTGGTGGCCCGCGCCGCCTCCGCCGTGGCCCGAGCCTCCGCCGTGGTGGCCAGCGCCGCCGTGGTGGTGGTGGTGGTGGTGATGGTGGTGGTGGGCGGAGTGGTGGTGGTGGGCGGTGTGGTGGGCGCCGTGGTGGTGGCCCGCGCCCATGTCGTCCGCACCGCCGCCGCCTCCGCCGCCGCCCGAGAAGCCCTGGCCCCGGAAGGCCTCGTAGGCCGCAGCGGCCGCCGGGTGATGCGCGCCGTGGTGCGCGCCGTGGTGGCCGCTGCCGATGAGGGCCTCCACGGCGTCCTCGGGCGTCAGGTTGAGCGCCTCGGGGTTCAGGTGGTGCTGGTACCCGCTCATCCAGTACAGATCCTCCAGCACCGCTTTTCCTGAGGCGCCCCCGACAGTGCCGGGGCCTCCACTCGGCGGCCCCGGGGCGCCCCCGGCCTGAGCCGCGCTGCCCCCGCCGCCCGCGCCGCCGCCGGTGCCCGGGCTGGGTGCGCAGAAGCTGGGCGAAGAGGGCACCGAGGAGCAGGGCGTGCTGAGGGGCGTCGAGGACAGCGAGCCAGGCGGCAGGCGGTGGCAGAAGCGCTCGGCCTCGGGCGGCTCCTTCTTCACTTCGAACTTCATCAGGTCGAAGTCGTTGACGTACTCGATGGCCAGTGGGCTGCTGGGCAGCTCTGCGCCCATCGCCAGCTCCGCGGCCATCGCCCGGGGCCCCAGCCCCAGCCCCGCCGCCGCCGCCGCGCCCGGCCGCGCCCCGACGGGCGGCGGGGGAGCGCGGGCGGGGGGAGCCGCGGCTCTCTCTCCCCCTAGCTCCCCCCTTGCCCGCGGTGGGCTCGGGCTCTGCTCGCGCCGCCGAAGGGCACAGGAAAAGTTTCGTGCAGTCAACTCCGGGCTGCGCTCAGGGGACGCGGCCCGGCCGGGCCTCTCGGGCGGCCCCCCGGCCCGTGGCGGGCGGCCCCCCGGCCCGTTTGCGGGGCCCTGATCCTGCGCTCCTCCTCCTGCTCCTCCGCCGTCCGGGCCGGGCGGGTGCAGAGGCCGCGCCCCGGGCTCAGCCGTGCTCCGGGCTCTCCCGCCCCGCCCCGCGCCCCACCCGCGCTGCCGGCCGGCCCCGCCTCCCTCGGCCCCGCACAGAGCCGCACAAGCCTTTATAGAGACGCGCTTCTGGACCCGCCCCCCCAGGTGGGGGCCGACGCCCCCGGGCCAATCGGAGCCCCAGCCCTGCCGCCTTCATTTGCTTATCCCCATGGCAACCCGGAGCCCAGCTGTCAATCTCCTGCGGGAAACAGCTGTGGGAACGGGTGGAGAAGGGCCGGCGGCAAGAGGAGTGGGCAGGGCCCCCTGGTGGCAGCCGCGAGGGACTGCACAGCGGAGGGCGCGAGACCAGGTCGCAGATCCTCAGATTCCAGGATCGCCAAAAAGTGCGGAGGGAGCTGGGGAGGCCGTCACCCAGGGGACTCTCCCAGTGTGTCGGTTCCGTTAGGTGGCCTAGCTGGCTGTGTATCGCACCCGACCCAAATGGCCTGGAGTCTCCAGAACCGGGACCTCTAACTATCCTGACACCGGGGACTCCGAGCTGCCAGGGAGCGCCAGCTATTTTTATCCTGTGGTTGGGACGGGTTCAGGAATTCAGTCAACAAAGTTGCTGGCACCTCGGGCGGCGGGATGCACCGTGGAACCTCAGGCCTCTCAGCGGTGTGGTGAGGAGAAGGACAGACGCCTGTAGGCCACCATCGGCCTAGGGGAGCAGGTCTCAGGGCCTACCCGAGGGCCCGCTGAATGCATGGGTCTGGACACTTGCGGGAAAGTTAGCAAGGAGAGCCCCCAAGGAGTCTCAGACTCAGCTGCCCACCGCTGGGTTTGGAGGCGAGGCGCCTGGCTGGGTGGGTGCGAGGTGACAGGTGGAAAGCAGATTGCCACCCTCACACCCGCTGAATGTCTCTACATATCTACGGGGAGGCCAACTCAGCGCAAGAGAAAGCCACAAAGGGAACAAGGAGGGTGGGTGGCAAGGAGATATGAGTTCTGTGACCCTCCCGCCACACACATACACCCCGCGCGCGAATTCCTGATCCCAACAGAACATGGAAAGAGACTGCCCTCAGGAGCGACAGCTGGGCATGACCCAGAGTGGGGGTTTTCTCCTTGCAGTTATCAATATTGCTCTTACACACCTTTGACAATTAAAAATAAAATCTTAAGCAGATAGATAGATAGATAGATAGATAGATAGATAGATAAATGAATTCTTACATGGAGACCATTTGTGCACAGAAAAGAAAGCATGGGAGGTTGTTCACTGGATACCTATGTGGTCCAGCTGCTCCGCCTGCTCCCCCTACAGGTGCCTGCTATTTCACAGGGGGAATGTCCGGCAACGAAGCGTGAACAGCTCCCTGCTCCTTTCTCACAACATTCCACAGCATCCTGATTCCCCTCACCTTTCTATTCCTCTGTGCAGGCCTTGGTCTCCAAAAACAAAAAGGCACGAGGAGACCCCACAAAAAGTCTCCCCGCAGCCTGCTCCAAAGGAGGCTTCTGGAAACACTGGTTGAAATTCTATGGCTCTGAGGTGGCAGCCAAAGAAAGGCATGTCAGTGTGAGCATGTCTTGTCTACGAGTGAGGAAGCGAGGCTGTGAAAAGTAACAGGCCTCGTCCAAGATGACCTATATCAGGTGCACCTGTGGCCAAAGGAGAGCCTTTTTTTTTTTTTTTTTTTTTTTTTTTTTTTTTTTTTTTTTTTTTGAGTTAGAGCATGAGGTCTCAGCAAGAGAGCCAGTGTTCCAGCTGCCTATGTCTCCTGCAGCCTGGCAAATGCACTGAACCAGGGGCCTAAAGGATGAGCTACATTTCTAGGCACTGCACTCCATGTGGCCTTGGGCATACTGAAAAGAGAGCAGAGGAGGGAGATGCTGACACTGGGCAGCCTGCCTCCTCCAGGCCCCATTGCCTAATGTGGTCCTGGCAGTGCACGCCTTTAATCCCAGCCCTCAGGAGGCAGAGACAGGCAGATCTCTTGAGTTCGAGGCCAGCCTTGTCTACAGAGTGGACTCCAGGTCAGCTAGGGCTACACAGAGAAACCCTGTCTCAAACACAAAAACAAAGAAAGAGAGAGGAGAATGTTGATTCCTGTCCAGTGTGCCGCAAACCATTACAAGCTCAGCACCTCAAAAGAGCATGTTTCAGGGAACCTAGGCAGGGCCTGACAGGGGCTTCTGCAGCATTTCCCAGGCTTCTGCAGTGAGATATGGTTCATGTAGGACAGGTTTTTGTTTTTGTTTGACTCTAGGGCAGCGGCTGGTGGCTGCTGGGTTGGCTAAGAGAAGTGGGGAAGGGGGCCTGAGACAGCCTCAGAAATGAGCAGAGGGAAGGGTAAGCCCTGAATGCAGGGAGGGAACCTGGGCTGGGAGGGGCTGCATGGCAGTGGCAGGCCAGCTAGATCAAGGCCAACCCTGTGGGGGATCTTGAGGAGCCTGGGCAACCATGTGTGGCCCAGGGATTTCTCAAGCGTTCTGGGTAGAAGGGAATGGGACTGTAAGAAGTGACAGGGACACTGGAATGCCCATCATGCCACCCCCAACAACCAATACCACCTCCCTCCTGAGACTACCCAAGGCTGCTGCTTGCTATTGGCTTGCTTTGGGCTCAGTGCACCGGATACTCAGCTCAGCAGCTCCAACAACTACTGGATGGCACCCTGCTGGCTATGGTCATAACAGGGCATGAGTCACAGGCAAGCCTGATCTAACTTCCATGGTAGGGGGACTTTCTAAATATCTCCCATCAGAAAGCACCCTACTGTGTGCAAATGTGACCTGTCATTGGTTGCATTTAATTCATGGGAACAGAGCCATGTCCTGGGTGTGGCAGTGAGTGCCCCGTTACACAGATCACACAGAGCAGAACCCATACTCAGCGCCCCTTGTCAGGAAGGCTCTGTGTAGCATAATAATGGCCTTAAACTGAAGGTAATCTTTCCTCTACCTGCTGAGTACTGGGGTTACAGGCCAGAACGTACAAAGCTTCTGTCTGAGGTTCGAGAAACGGCCTAGCTGCTTGTCTGTCATACATTAAGTCCTGGCTTTGATCCCCAGCACCTCATAAGATGGATGTGTTGGCACAGGCCTGTCATTTCTGTGTTCTCAAGATGTGGAGGCAGGAGGATCAGAATTTCAGGGGCGTGCTCATCTACACAATGAAGTTCGAGACCACACTGGGATAAATGAGGTCTTGTCTCAAAACAACAAAAATACAGACACATTCTGTATTTTCCAGGTGGAGGCTGTATAGTCCTATGGCAGCAAAGACAAAGAGCCCTACATTGGGATCATTTATATTTAAAGAGATGGACCGGGCTGTGGAGATGGCTCAGTCAGCGAAGTGCTTGTCTTATAAGCATGAGGACCTGCATTTGGATTCCTGGAACCCATGTAAAAAGCTACATGTGGTGACATGTTTGTAACCTCGGTGATGGCCAGATGGGAAGTGGAGACAGGTAGATCCCTGGAAGCAGTGGGCCAACTGGCCTGAACTACACGGTAAGGTTACAGACCAAGGATAGGTCCTGTCTCAAGCAGAAGCTGGAAGGCCCCTGAGGACAGATGCCAGAGGTTGTTGTCTACCAATACACAAGCACCACACACACACACACACACACACACACACACACACACACACACACCCAGTGTCTGGTTTGAGGATCCAGGCACCATTAGTGGGTGCCCACTTCATAAAGGGAGACCAGTTGGAGAGCAGCAGTAGGTCCAACCAAGAGGCCCACTGCCAGCCTCCAGCTAGGTCAGGCCAGTGACATGCCCCACCCCCCACATTCCCATCCCTGGTCCCCATGGCTTCTTCTAGGCACAAAGAAGCAGAACTATACGAATACACTTCCAGGCAGTCTCTAGCTTGGGTCCTCCACTTAGGGGAAGCAATAGATGGGCCCTCTGATCAACGGAGCTGGAAGGCTCCTCCGCTGGGAGGGAGGTAGGTTGTCGTGCTAGCCTCAGGGGTCCAGCTTTGGAGCTCATGAATTCTTGCTGCACAGCTCTGTCCAGCAGGCTCTACCACTGGCAACTGCTCATATATGCCCGTGTCGCAGTTCCTTGGGAACTGGATCACGTGGGTTCAGTTATATGAGATCATTTTCCCATAGCACTCATTTAAAAACTATTTTATTTGGGGTAATTAGGCCTCTACCTCCCTTCCACCAACCCTTTAACCCTAGGTAAGAGAGAGAAGGTTATCGGGGTGTGGGGTTACCCATCTGTTTAGGATTGGTAGGTTCTTTCAGGGCTACATCACTCTCCGTCAACACCAAACAGCAAAGTCTCCTCCGTCTATCTTCTCCAAGGTGCTGTGCCACAAAGCATCTCTCCCGTCTCTCCAGACCATCACACCTTCCATCTCTGGCCTCTCCAAACTGCCACACCTTTTCTTTCCACGCTCTTGTATTTATATCCCTCAGAGACCTAGACCACACCCCTCTGTGCTGCACAAAGCAGGCTGTTACCAGCTGGCACAGACCACACCCCACAGGAGGCAATTATTAGCTGTGGACAAGTTAAAGCCCAAACTAAAATCCCACCCTTGGGATTAAAACAAAAAGACATTTTATATAACATAACTTGAGTTTTTAAAGAAACCCAAACTTCCACTACACTTTCTGTGAGGTGGAGGGCCTCCAGATCATCCGTCATGGTCTGTGGGCCGTATGTAACTTTGGCAGGTGCTTGCTAAGTCCTGGACATGATGAAGAAGGTGAGTTACGGCCAGAAGAGCAGCACCTACCATGGCTGTCTCAGGCTATGCCAATACTAGGTGAGTATAGGCGTCCTTTGAACCAGTCAGGAGTCCTGCCTGCAGTGATGCTTACTGGGGAAGTGAACGCAAAGCATGAAAGTGTGCTCACCTAGAACCTACCTGTGAAGCAGAGTGCTCAGGGATCCCAGCCTAAGGAGCCAGCCATGTGCTTTTATAGGGCAAGAGGTGGGAGCAGGGAAAAGGTGAGTGCCACAGCATGGTACCCTTCCCTGATATCCATTTCTATAACCCCTACCCAGGGACAGGAGGGAGACCAGATCTGCTTGCCAGAAACTTCTTTTCATGGTGCCATAGGTGGTTATCCCAGAAGCATGGGGGGATGCGTGGCTGTGGTATGGAATGGTACTTCATTTCGGCAGACTTAGCGCCTCACATTGCAGGCAAGCACTCTGCCTCTGAGCTACACACCACCTCCAGTACTGTGGTCCGGCAGCATGTGCTTCCTGCACTCCACCCTCATCTCCTCTGCTGGTGCTCATGTGGGGACCTTGGCTAGCCAATGAAGGAGGGCTGAGGGGCAGTTAATAACAGCCTGTCTACGTGAGGCCAAGGTTGGTGACAAAGGGCAACCCCCAGGAAGGCATGTAGGAGCCCCAGTACATGCCAGGCAAGGACACCTGGCTAGCTTGGATCTGCCAACAGAAGAACACCCACCCTGGCCTTCCTACAGGTCCTGTCCATCAGGTCTATAGGGGTCCAGTATCAGGGGACTCTAACCCTTTCACTGATGGGTAATCTCGTGCTTTTCTTCTGGACTAGGTTCCAAACCCAGGTTCAGAACCCACCTTCTTGCTGAACCCCTAGAGCAGGGCCTTGGTAACAGTGATGGGGTAATGGTGTGGGGTGTCTGGCTACATGGCTAGACCTCCTTTGTTGGATGTGGTTTTTGTGGATCAGCCTCAGTTTTCTTATGTAAGCCTGAGTGAGCAAACTCACCTGATTAGGGGCCATGGCAGAGTGTGAAACAGCACACCCATACCTCCTATAGCCTTGAGGGCAGAGGTCATTGCCACCTGCGGTGTGGTGAGTTGGGCACCAGGATCCCGAAGGACATACTCGGTGCAGCAAAGGCTGAGGAGCTTGGGTTAGTGAGTCACAGCAGGAATATGGGCCCAGACAACATGGTGTGACACACACTACACTACAGCATGGGGCAGCAGCTGACCTACACAAACCTATCAGTACAGACACCAGGATGCTGCTGGCCTAAATCACTGGGGACCTGTAAGCAAATTCTTTGATGATCTATGCCTCATCCTTGGAAGGGGCACCTATGACCCTGCGTCTCCAGTCTTCCCTCTCCAGCATCTCCATGGAAGGAAGCAAGATCTCAACCCAGTCTTCTGGAGACACCTGCAGAGAGGAGGCCTTCTCTTCCTCTGCCTTGGCCCCAGCCTGCCTGGAACTTCAGACTGGGCCCTGAAACCCCGCAGAGCCCTTTTACACTGACTTGGCCCAGGAGAGAAGCTGCTTCTGGACCTGAGCCACAGCAGAGCTGATGTAAGCAGGCCTCGCTCCTGCAAAGGTGGTAGAGGGCTGTTCCAGAGAAACCTTCTCCCCTATATGTCCAGGGTCCTGTGTTTTTTGTGTTAGTCAAGACAGGCCAGCTAGACACAGGATAAAACCTTTATTGCTCAACATAAAATATCCAAAGAGGCCTGGCCAGTAGCCTCTTCTCTGGGCAGGAGTCCTGGGTGGGGAGGGCTGGGGGCACCAGCCCTACAGCTACCGCCACACCCACCACAGGAGACAGGCTGGGTGAACCTCACATGGCACCCTGATGGCTGGGAGCCATGGACAAGTCCTAGTGTGAGGCTGAGTGTTTTGGGGGTGGGGTGGGGAGGGAGAGGAACAGGGAATGGACAGGGCTTTGGCTTGAGGGAGAACAAGGCCTGGGCACACAAAGGCCTCCAAAGGCTGTGAGCCAAATGGGAGGAGCTATGTATCCCTGCTTATAGCCCCAGCTGGGCTCAGTGGCAGGCTGCTTCTCCTCAGGAGCAGTGGTGGGTAGAGCCTCCATCCTCTCCAGGGGTGAGGGTTTGAGGTAGGTGCGGGCTGGTCCCCAGGGAGCCTCACAGACGTGGTTTGATGTGTAGCGGCTTCCCTATATAGAGAGCAAAGGTCAAGCATCAAGCCACTCCAGTCCAGCAGCAACTACCCCACTTCAAGTTCCTGGCTGAGGCTCTGGAAAGGGACAACTAGCAGCCCAGGCCTGCCAGCAAGGGTCTGCAAGGAACCAGTTGCTGTCCTTCAGCTCTTATCTACCTCTTTACTCCTGCCACCAACCAGGCCCTAAGGAGTAGAGAGGGAAGGGACGGGGACTCTGCCAATTCAAGGTCTTCCTGTGGCAGCTTAGGGGGGCCAGGCGCCCCTTACAGTGGGCGGGACCACAGGTGGGAGCCACAACACTCTGCAGACTGAGCTATAAATACTGGGTGTGTGCAGACACGCAAGCACATGCCACACTCACACCTGGGAGCAAGGCTGCCAGACACAGACAAGGCAAGTGTGCTTTCCACATGGAAAACTGAAGTGTGTGTGAGCAGGTGGCCCCCAAGGGGGTGGAGTAAGACCAGCAGAAGCTGACAGGGTCTGGAAGCAGGAGGGGCAGGAAGAAGAGGGTCCCTGGAGGGTCCTGAGGGCTCCTGCCTGGTGAGAGCTTTCTTTTCACTCTCCCAGGTGCCAGTATCCTGCTGGTATTTCAATGTGGCTATGTGGCATGGCCCACGTGCCCCTGTAAGACCTCTCTCATGACGGGGTTCCTTTCTTCAGTGCTGTTAATTCCATTCACTGTCCAGCCAGCCAACAACAGGAGTGAGGCCCAGCAGCTGGGCCCAGGCCTGCAGATTCAACAGCCTCGGCCAGGTTAGCCCCCATTTGTCCTCTGGGCTGCTTCAACAGGCACAGGCAGGCTTCCTGCCAGAGACTGTCCCAGGCTCAGCTGCACCTGCCCCTCCAGCTCCCTTCCTGGCTGAACAAGCCTCGTGAGCTTTCTGGAGCCCTTTTCTAGTCGGCTCAACCTACATGCAGGGTACCCATACCCTTGTGGCTCCTTTGGTCCTGGGATTAACTTCTGGCTTCCTGATCTTTAAAAAAAAAAAACACATGCTCCCTCAGGGTTCCCAGCTGCACCCCAGCCAGTGGCCCCCTACATGGAAGGAACTTTTGTCCCATATAGGTTCCAGTTGGCAAGGGCCTGGTATCATCTACTCTGCACCCAAGAAGGGCGATGTAACCAGGAGGCAGCCCCTCCAGCAGGCGCGTCAGTGTGCTCAGTGGGGCTGTTAGAGAAGCCTGCAGCAAGCATCTTCCATTAACGTTACGGCCGTGAAATATGACAATAAAATGATAGCCGTATGGTCGCAAATTTGCAGCCCGCCAAGCTGCGTGGGGTTTATCGTCACTCAAACGCGCAGAGAGCTGTAAAATGTTTACAGAAAGGGTCGTTTGCAGCCATAAAATCCTCTTTTCTCTCCTAAACAAGGCTGAGTGGAGCCATTTACCAAGCCCCAAACGCTCATTGGGGAGAGGGAACATCTGTTCTCTCCAGGAGTGTGCAGTGATCTTCCAGAACAAATTAACAGAAATGGGTGCTTTCTAATTAAATCAGCCCTCGCTGGGGTGGTCTTCAAGGCGGCCACTGCTGTGCTTGCTCCTCACTGGCCTGCCCTGGGCACCTGGTACACTAACTCCCAAGCCCCACCCAGAGATGCCATTCTGAAGTATACATTTAAAAAGACCCAGGAGGGGCCAGACTGCTCACCTGAGTCCTTAGTGCGGGGGCTCCTGGGGGACTGGGGCCCAGGCTGGCCTCCTGGGCTTGGGGAGGAATGCAGGGAGATGAAGGATGGCAGCTTGCAGAGGCTGCTAGAGCCTGTTCCTGAGCCTGTCCCACCTGTCCCAGAGGCAGCTTCTTCCTGGTCCAAGGAGGGGGTAGGGGAACTAGCAGAAGGGGAGGAGGAACGGGAGGAGGCACCGGTGGCCTTTGAAGACAGGGTAGAGGTGGAGGCTAATACCCTTGGGGAAGGGGGAGGGGAGGCTGAGGCCTCAGTTCTGGAGACCAGACCAGCAGACATCTGTCTGGTAGGGCGCTGAGCAGTAGAGGGCTTCCTGAAAAAAAAAAAAAAAAAGGTGGAAAAAAGTGAGGGTGGGTGACTGCTTCCATAGATGTTGGAGAAAGAGAGTGCTTGCTTGTCAATCATTTGCATGACACCTATCCTATAACAGGGCTCCTAGTCTCTCACCCCCATACCTAACCCTAGAGGACACTGGGCATGTCTATATAGATCTAAGACTGGCCTACAGTCTAAGGACAGGCTGTTTCCAGAGCCTTCCACCTGAGGCAGATGGGGATGAAGCCTGTGAGATCCCAGCTCCTTCCTCACCTTCTGGGATCTATAGTTCACCTGTAGGGAACCCCCATAATCCATAGGACATGGGCACAACTCTGGGATCCCCATCCTCCAGGGCTCACTCCCCTTCATGTAGAGAGTGGGTTTCTGAAAGTCTCCATGCACGGGAATGTTTGTGATTCTGTCCGTGTTCAGAGATCCAGAATGTAAGCATCTTAGGAGATCTTGCCACCAACTGAGATTCTCTTTTGGACCTAAAGCCCACAGTGCTGGGGTGACGCTTTATCCCAGAGGTTCCTAAGTGTCCTTAGAGCAGGGGTGGGCTGCCCCCAGCTCACATATGCAGCACAGCACCCACTGATCTGTTACCTGAGTACATGGCCAGCTGAGGTCTTGCTTCTGGGGGCTCCATCGCTAGGCCCTGGGGTAGGAGGTGCAGCTGTCCGCCGGCCATGTCGCTTCTGGTTACGATGGAGCAGCTGGCACTGGGAGCCACGGGGACAAACACCCCTTCGGGCAAAGTCAGGACACAGCAGTGTGTGCTTCTTCTTACACTAGGGGAAGAATAATAGTTGATAGGGTTTACTGGATGTTATGGCTACACACAGTGAGGATTGCCAAATACAGCCCAGGGAAGGCCCACTGACCCTATAAGCTGCCCACCAGGCCTCAGAGCCAAAGGCTGCTTGTTGGAATGATGAGGCCACCAGGCCACAGTTATTCCACCTGGACATGCACTGAATGGCCAGGGCCTGCCTGGGGATTCCCAGAGCCTGAGGCCAGGCCATTGCTGGGGCTCTGCCTGTCTGTTCTGTCAGCCTGTCTCTATTCCAGTGGGTGTGTTTGGAGCAGAGGGAGGTGGGTGGGGCTTGAGGCCTCAGGGGACCTCATGGGATAGGGTTTGGGACAGGAGCCCAGGCTAGCAGGCAAGGCAGGTCGGCTGAGGCCGGGCATCACTGAGTTAGGGCTGGGCCAGGCACTCGATCCATGGCACCTGTCATGGGGCTAATTATACCAGTGTAGAGGGTAGGGGGAGGGCATGCCAGGCAGCAGGTGTCCCGGCCAAGGCTTAGACTCAGTTCTGTCTACCAGACCACATCAGGGACTCCAGCAGTCTCTGCCCAGTGTACAGTGGCAAGGCCCAGCTAGGGGGAGACCCAGGGGTGTTGACTGCAGCTTAGGGCTCCTGAGCACTACTCTGTGGCCCTGCTGCTGCAAATCAAAAGCCTCTGCAAAGGAGGGGTTTCCTCTCCCCCACAGTACAGATCAACACAATTTGGCAGAGAGAGCCAGAGTCTAATTAATCTTGGGCACCCAAACTATACCTCCCACTGGACTAGGAAACAAGCTCCAGGTCAAACTGAAGACACCCCACTGACCTTACAGGATTGCCAAGAGTGAAAAACTCAAAAGCAGCCATTGCACCACCAAGTCATGTCTACAGAATGGCAGCCCAGCAGGAAGTGAGTCTCATAGTCTTAGGGCCACATCCTCACAGGCCTTGTGACCTATTGGAATGCAACCTGTGAGGGAGTGTCCCTACCCTGCTTTCAACAACTAGGACAAAGCCTGGCAGAGTGCCTCACACAGAGCATATACTTCTCAGCAGGTGTCCAGCCGCAGAAAGAAGAACTGGACGGAATAAGCCTCCGAGTGTGATTGTTCCTGTGAGGTGGGTACCCCACCTGTTCCATAAGCAGGTGCAGGTACGCTTCCCCCCTCACAGACTCACGTACTCACTACTACAAGGAATGTGAGCTCCTGTGCCCTAGGCCCAGCCAGCGACCTGGGACCTAAAACTCAGGGCAGCCTGACAGGTAGAGGGACTAAAAGCTGGAGTGGCCAGAGAACACGTGGCCATGTGAGCCAGGGTGAGTATGTGCAGTGTGAACAGGCACATTAGAGTTGTGCCAAGTGCCCCACAGACACATTCTGTCAAAGCTGTAACAGACCAGCACAGCTTGACTCAGAGGCTGCCTGGACTCTGCTGCTCTATACTGTGGCCCACAAACACCTAACATGGGATGGATATATGCAGAGATACACCTCAGAGGTCAAACATGGTGGACTTTGGCAGAAAAAAAAATGTAGAATATGGAATTCTATTTTCCATTAATTACATCTTAAGTTTTTTGATATACTGAATGAAAAATAGCTTTCACTTGTTTCCTGTCTTTTTTTTTTTTTTTTTTTCATGTGTGCATTCTTCCCAGAAAGTGGTAAGCTGCCCTACTACTCCTCAAAGACCAAAAACTCTAGGAAGAAAGGTGAAGAACTTCCTTAGATCATCCAAGAGCTATAATAAGAAAATTCCTAGGTAGCAGGGGCAAGGACTACCTCTCTCCCAGACCTGAACATGGGCCATGAACTGATGCAAGGGCCTGACCAGCAATATAAACAAGAGCCTGGAATTAAGATCTCACTGTTATAGAAGGGTAGGGCCAGGCCGGCCAGGGTGGGCAGGTAGGCGGGTAGGGCCTACAAGTAAGGAGCCATGTGGAAGCACTATGGCAGTGAACCACCGTCTGTGGAGGGCGGTATGGTCCCTAGTATCTAGAACCTTAAATGTTTGTGTAGAAAAGAAAATCCATCTCCAGAGATGACAGAAAGCAGAAAAATGAACCAAAGAAACGTTAAAGAGGTAAAACACAGCAGGAATTAAAGCCAAGAAACTAAAAAAGTGCCTTTTCTCCTAATCAATAATCAGGAAGCAAGGTATGAGCATGGAAGCAAGGTATGAGCACGGAAGCAATGCTAGCACAGGAGTAAAACCCCATATTGTGGCTGACATAGACAGAAGGCGGGGACAGCTCAGTGGCACAGCATAAAACCATGGGTATGAAGCCTTGGGCTCAATCACCTGCAATTAAAAAAAAAAGACCACCTGCCCCTAGAGGTGCTGCAGGTGTGGCTGCTGTCTCACCTGTGAGTCAGTAGGTGGCAGAGGGGAAAGGGGCTGTGTCTACGCCCAGGGTTCTGACCAATGAACATTGGAATGATTAGTAGCCTAACATTCCCTGAAAAAAGCGAGCCTGAGAAGACCATCAGTCCAGCACTGGGGGCCCAGGCAGGGAGTTAGCCTGACATGATCACCAGTCTGGTGCCCAGACAGGATCTCAAGACAGGGAGCAGGACAAAAACTAGAAGAACCTGACTGCCAGGCCCAGGGTGGGAGTAAAAACAAGACAGACAACTCTTGCAAGGGGTGACTTGGGTGGGCCAGGCAAGCAGTGAGCCTGAGATGACCATCAGTTCAGTACAGCACAGGCCTAGTGGGCAGACCATGCTGGAAATGACCCAGCCCAGTGCCAAAATGTGGGGCTCCTCATTTTGGCAGCACTCCTCAGAACATTCCTAAAATGACCCCAGACACTCAGAGACCCCAGTGCCACTAAGAAGAGCAAGTAAATAGTGGAGAAATGGAAAAAAAAAGGAACAGAAGGATGTGGGCACAATGAAGAGAGGCAGAACTGGAGAGTCGAAGGTAGTAAGGAACAAACTGAGGTGAGTAGCTGGTGATGCTACCTGGGATCATGGTGAGGTCCTGGCCTGTGATACCACAGGGGGACACATCTGGGTCCATGAACCTGCAGAAGCAGGGGTCTTTTACCACCAAAGGCCAAGCAGATGCCCCTGGTCTGGGCTGCAAACTGGGACCATGTTGCTGAGGGCTGTGCAAAAATGGCCCCACCTCTCACCTGGGTGTCCTGAGAGCTGCCCCTGGGGGCATGACAGCAGGAAAGCTGACCTTGGCCCTAGCCAGCTGCAGCACTCTGGAGAAAGGGTCCTGCACCTCACCTGGACAGTACCCTAGAACTGACCCTGGTGGTAGGGCAGAGGTAAGCTGGCCGGAGAGGTTCAGTGTGGGAAAGCTGGTCCTGCCTCTTGTCTGGTGTGCAGTAGCACAGGCAAAGAAGAGATGGCCCCCTTTCCCCTTATGACAGGCAGGAGAGCTGGCCCTGAGGTCACCAAGCAGGAGAACTGTCCCTGTATCTTGCCTTGGCAGCACAGTAGAGCTAGCTCTGGATGTATGGTTGCAGGTGAGCCACCCCAAAGTGTTGTGGGAACTTTTCCGCCTGTGCCCAAGCTCCTGGAAGAATGACTCATAAGATTCAAAATATTACAAATATTTCGGCCATAGAGCCAGACTAGCTCATAACTTAAAATAACCCATTTATTCTAATCTACATTCTGCCATGTGTCTGGCTACCTATGCTCAGGTACCATGAGTCCTTTCTCCTCACATCTTGCCAGCTGAATCCCAAGTGCCTGGCTGTATCCCAGAATCCTTTCTGCCTGCTAGATGTCCCACCTCCTATTTCCTGCCTCAGCTATAGGCCATCAGATTCATTACTGACAGGTGAGTTTCCATACAGAGACAAGATATTCTCTGAACATTTTTCTCTGTAAGTCCAATAAAAGGCTCTTTTTCTTACACCAAGGGCATGAGCACAGGAGAGCCAGCCCTGCCTCTTGTCTTCTGGTCAGTGATCTAGATGAGGGAGAAACACCCTCCTCCACTCTCTCATCCCTTGTCATCTATGGCAGGCAAGAGAGGGTCATGAGAGTGGGAGAACTGGTCATGTTTCTCACCACCTACAACACCCAGGAGAATAGGCCCTATACCTCGTCTGGGTAGCAGGGCAGAGCTGTCCCTGGTTGCAGAAGTTGCTGTTGAGTTGGCCCCGAGGGCCTGAGAATCTGAGAGTGGGAGAGCCTTTGGGCTGACCAGCTCAGATAGTCCTCAAGCCCAGATCCAGGGCTTTGAACTGGCCCACCCCGACACCTACCCCACTGATAAACTGCTGGCGGCATGAGGAGCTGGCCCTATAAATCCAAAACTACAGGATCTCTATGATACAGGGCAACAACAGGATATCTGAGAGGAGTACCAGTGAGGTTCCAGGATTGGTAGAGGAGCAGAAGCCAGAGGCCTCATACCAGACCAACAAGTCACTGCAATGAACAGTTACAAGTAAAGAAGTACGGACAAAGGGTGTACTATGGGACACATTGTGACATACAACAGCTTCCACAGTGAGATTTTTTTTTTTCTCTGTTGGGGGAGAGGTTACAAGGGTAGAGGGCAGGAATGAGGTGAGGAGGAGATCAGTGGGATTGGGGTGCATGATGTGAACCCCAATAAAGAAAGAACCAGTAAAAAGTTAAAAAAAAGAAAAACAATGTCACGTCATGAACAAGCTTTATGACAATCAATCTGAATACACAGGTAAAACTGACAAGTTATAAAAAAAACTGACAAGGAATAATAAAACTTAGATTTTTCTTATCACCATAAAGGAATTTCAATCAGTATTTAAGAAAGTTCCAAGCCAAAGGGTTTTCACTATAGTTTTCCAAGAATTTACAAGACACAATTTTACTTCATGAACAAATCAAATTCACAGAAGGGTAAAACCACTGTCTATGTGGCCAGAATAGTCTTGGCCAAAAAAAAAAAAAAAAAAGCACCTGTCATGAGAAGAACATCTGGGCCAATACTGAGTGAGCATAAAGAAGCTGCATGAAGAGGCCTAAGCTACCAGGACCATGAGGAAATCAACAAATAAAAACAACCAAACAAAAGGTAAGAAGTTAACTAAAGAAAGACTAGGGGCTGGCAAGATGTTCCTGTGGGTAAAAGTTCTTGCCCTGAAAGCCTGATGAATTGAGTTCAATCTCTAGAACCCACATAAAGGCTTGGAATGAGAGAGCTAAGGCTACAGTTTTCATGTGACTTCTAAATATATGCTGAGACAAGTGCATTCCCCAACCCCACTCCGACATCATACACAGTACTAAATAAAATTAAAATTAAAAAGATCGTCAAGCAAGATGGCTTAAGCCTTTAATTCTAGCACTATGGAGGCAGAAGCAAGCATATCTCTGTGAGTTCAAGGCCAGTTTGGTCTACACAGTGTACACAGTGAGTTCCAAGCCAGCCATGGCTTAAACAAAACAAAGCACACCCCAAAAACAAGAACAACAACAACAAACTCAGAACAATAACTGGAGAGATGGCTTCCTGATTAACAGTGAGTACTGCTGAGAGAGGACCCAGGTTTGTTTTTCCAGAACTCAGGTCAATCAAGTCACAACTATCTCTAAGTAGGTTCTAGGTTATCCACAGCTCTCTTCTGATCCCTGGAGTCACCTGCATGAACACAGTACACTCATCCACACTTCAACAAATAAGTCGTCCATAAAAATTAAACAATTAAACAATCAATATGCAGAAATTTGTATACTACAAGGCTAATTAAGAAGACACAGCCTTAGATCATCTCCATAGAAAAGAATTAGTTAACAAAATCCAACCTTAATTCAAAGTTGAAAACAGGCAAATTAGTAATGGAAAGATTCATATAACCTTAATATAAAGAACCTTCCAGGCCTGCCATGGTGGCCCACACCTTTAATCCTAGGACTTGGGAGGCAAAGGCAAGTGGATCTCTGTGAGTTTGAGGCCAGTCTGGTCTATATAATTGAGAACCTGTCTCAGAAAAAATAAGCATGAGCCAATGAAATGACTCAACAAGTAAAGACAGTTGCTACCAACACTGATGTACGTCTTAGTTCAATCTCCAAGGGACCACAAGGTGGAAGGGAAGAGAACCAATGCGAACAAGTTGTCCCTCCATTTGCATGCTGTGGCAAGTATGCCTCCAGGCACATGTGTGTGTACACACATACAGATGCACTAAATCAATTAAAAGGTAAAAAAAAAACAAAAACAAAACTAGACGAAAACAGCAAGAACAAATATGCTGCTCCGAAGAATGACTGCTGCAGGCTTCTCTCCACCCTCAGTGCTCACTGTGTTCTGGTTCATCATGTGGTTCACTGACGCCTGAGATGGGCTGTCCCCACTCATCTCCTCCCTCTCTTAAAGGCACTGGCTGCTCCTGCAGAGGACCTGAGTTTGGTTCACAGCATCCACATGGAAGATCAGAACCATCTAACTCCAGCTCAGAAACTCCAGCGCCCTCTTCTGGCTTCAGCACCTACCAGGCACAAATGCGGTGTACAGAATACATACAAGCAAAACACTCATACACAGAATAAAATTGAATAAATCTTGTTTTCGTTTTCAAAGACAGGGGTCCTCTGTGAAGCTCTGGCTGTCCTGGAACTCACTCTGTAGACCAGGCTGGCCTCAAACTCAGAGATCTGCCTGCCTCTGCCTCCTGAGTACAGGAGATTAAAGGTGTGCACCACCACTGCCTGGCTGTAAGTAAATCTTCAACCCAGAAAACAAAAATACAAACTTTCAGAAAGGTTGGTCCAGAGGAAAGGCACTATGTCCAGAGAAAAGTGCACTACATACACTATGTTCAAGACAGGTAAGAAGAGGAAAGGCAAAAAGAATGTTGCTTGGACTGAAAACAAAAAAATAGCCAAAAACCAAAAAACCTTACTGTTTATGAATTGTTACAAGTACTTTCACAGATAGCATGCAACAAGGGTGTAAGTAACAAAAATCAACATTTAGACTGGTTGAACGAATAGTGAAAAAATAAAATTTTAAAATACTATTTTTGTGTGTGTGTGTGTGGACTTGGAATTGAACCAGGGCTTCATGTATGAAAAGAACTACCACTAAGTCATATCCCCAGCCCATTATATTCTATTGTAATAATAACAGTGCCATTTTAATAGCTGGAAAGCTCACTATGATAACGGCCTATGTCCATTCTCACTGCCCAGATCCACAGATTGAACAACCCCAACCAGAACTCCAAGTGTGCAGGTGTGGTAAACCCACCTGGGATCCCATCACTCAGCAGGCTGAAGCAGAATTCTGAGTTTGAGGCTAGCCTGCACTATACAGCAAGACTCTATTTTAAACAAGCAAACAAACAAACAAAAAAACCAAACAAGAACAACAACAACAACAAAAAACCATGAAGCTAAAGAGGAAGCAAGGCAGTTAAGAGCACTTGCTAAGCAATCACGACTACAGTTTGGATCCCAGCATCCACGTAAATCAGGCATTCCACAAATGCCTGTAACTC